GGGGGGGGGGGGGGGGGGGGGGGGGGGGGGGGGCTTGTGTTTGGGCATGGGGAGAGGAGGAGTTGATGCTGTTGTTTTTACATCGAAAACACGGGCATGACGATTATATTGTGCTTCGAAGTAGTATTTTTGGTGTGTGTAGGTGTTGCCGGGGAGGGTGGGGGGGGGTGCGGTGGTGAGGGGAGGTACATCAGATACCTTGTTGTGGTTTTTCTTCCCTTGTCGGTCTGGTCATGTGATCTGGCGGCCGTCCTCCACTCTGCCCATTATTGCTTTTTCCGTGCTCATTTCGAATAATCTGCTGCCCCTCCCCCGTCCTCTGCCCCGCACGACGTGATCGATCACGATCGCCCCCAGGTTCGAGACAATGGGGGTGTCGATGGTGCTGGTGGGGGAGACCCTGATGCGGGCGGAGGATCCCGCAAAAGCGATCCGCACACTCCTGGGGGAGGAAGAGCCAACACCGGTAAGAAAAAGAACAGATACGACACAGTTAGATAAACCAGCTCACACAAAACCAGCCTCATGGTTTTCTTTGCTCCTTTAGTACGCACGGTCTGGCAGGCGTAACTAGATATTTAACAATCCGTGCACCCGCCCCCCCCCCGGCCGGGAGACGTTCGCTTGAATTTGGTCTGGTTACTACCATCATGGTCGTTGGTTCACAATGCCATCGAGAGGACATGAGTCGGTTTACTATATTTGGGTTTGTCTTAACTCATCCAAGAGCGTTGTAAACGGGCGGCTGTTGTTTTTGTTGATGTTGGCGGTGGTAGCAGTATCTCTTCTCCATCTTCTTCTCGTCCTTGTTGTCTTGTCTTCTTCTTTCTCTCCTTCGTCTTCAACTTCTCCTTCTTGTCAATTTTGCTGTTCTTGTCACGACTCAGGTGTCGGAGCAACGCCTGGTGAAGGTGTGCGGCGTGACCAACGTGGAGGACGCCTCGACGATCGCCACCGCCGGCGCCAACCTCATCGGCGTCATCTTCGCGGAAGGTTCCCCCCGCAGGTGAGTGGCACAGACTGGTAATTCCTAATTGCGTTGTTGTTGCCGACCGCTGCTGCTGCTGCTGTTTGCCTGACCTGCACTACTGAAAATACCCTATACCTATCCATGGTGAGAGAGGGGGTTCAGTTTCTCACGGGTGGGCGGCACACGTTGTTCACGGAACGAGATCATTTCGAGCTGTGCATCAACCAACCAACCCTTCCACTTACCCTCGTGAATGACAGCACAAAGACGGTGAAACAGCTCTTATCAAAGCGTCTTGGTTGTTGTTTTCCGGCGCCTGTTGATTGTCGTGTGTGGTGTGCTCACCCCGCCTGCCTGCAGAGGAATTTGTGGCGTTTTCGCGAAGGAGACGCAACGTACATCCCTGAGCAATCGATTCAAAAAAGCGTCGCGTCTGTCTGTCCTCCCAAGCCCGTCCTGTTTTCGGTCGTCGGACAAAACCGCGACGGCTTGTGGTCCGTCCCGGCGTTGTATCACGGCGAGACGTGGGTTTTCGTTGATGTCATAAGGTTGAACAAGCATGACTGCGAGTACCCCCCTCCGCCATTTGTTGTTCCGAATATTGGAAGGTACAGTAGGAACGGGTCAGTACCTGGGTTGCGCGGTCAATAGCCATGTGACGAGAGACAACCGGAAAAATCGTAACCCCTCCCGCCCCCCCTGTTCACACCTCACGTATCCCCCTCTGCCCCTCCCTTCCCTGCGGTTGGTTGATATTCTCGCGATACTGTATGATACAGAGTCACCGAAAAGCGCGCCCGCGACATCGTCAAAACCGTGCAGGCGTTCGGAGAGCGAAATTCTCCCAAGCACATTGAGCCACCCCCGCAGGTGGGAGGGAGAGAGGAATGGCGGGAGGGAGGGAGGGAGGGAGGGAGGGGTGGAGGGAGGGAGGGAGAGGGAAGAGACAAGTTGTTGGGTTAGCTATTTCCATGTTTTGGCTCCTCTTGTGTGTTTTGCTGCGATCATATGCACATGACAAATTTAGTCGAAGTAGACAACACGCGCCACGAGAGCTATTAGTTCCTTTCTCGGCCGAGCGTAAGGATTGAAGACACTGACACGTGCACCCCATTGTGTAAGACTCAAAACAATATTTGCTTGTTTTTTGTTGTTCCAGCTCGAGTTTGTTGGCATTCTTCGTTTTTTTATGTTTTTGTGCCGTGTTTGGTGCGGATGTGTTTTCTTTTGTGGTGTTGTTTTCCCGGCGTGATGCGTAAGCTGACGATTCGCGAGTATTCCGCGGCCTCTTTTCGCTCTTGTGTTTTTGCTGCGATCATATACAATGTGCCGTATTTAGGGTGTTTCCCAAGCAGACCAACACGCGCCGGAGAGCTATTAGGAGTATTATTGTTCCCTTCTCGGCCGAGCGTAAAGATTGGATGAAGCACTGATAGGTATGCCCCCATTGTATACAACTACAAGCAATCTGTCCTTGGTGTTGTACCAACTCGCGTGTTTTGGCATATTCATTTTTTTGTTGTTTTGTTCATTGGTGTGCTATTTTCTTGTACCGTTTTTTTTTTCTTCCGACTTTTAGCCGTGACCCGCTTCGTCGTTCTGGGCAGACCGATTCAAGCGCAGAGTGGTTTCAGGCGTGGTCGAAAAAGCTTGTAGAGGCGAGCCACAGGACACCGCTTGTCGTCGGCGTGTTCCAGAACCAGCCGACGGAAGAGGTACGGTATGCACGCGTTTTGTTGTTGTTATAGTCATCGTCATCGTCGTCGCGTGTGTATGGGTGTGTGTTGCGTACCTATAGGTTTGTGGAAGTGTTCAAGGAGCGGTGGGTGTGCTGCTCTGCCCCAATTATGTAGAACCAAGAGAGATCCTGTTAGGCATTAGACTTGGAAGAGACAGCCAGAACGGCACCTATTCATTGTCCTGCAATGGACTTACACATCCCTTTGGTTACGTCGCCGTGCTCTCCCAACAGACGGACCACTCGTCTTGTCGCGAGGGCCTTATCTTTGTGACCGTTAACCCCCCCCCCCTAGCAGCTTCTGGTTCATCCTTGTTAACCCTAGCCTGGGCCGGCGAGAACCCGGCATACACACCGCTCCCTCCAGGTATTGTAGGCATGCGAGGTCTACGGTCAACCGACTACTGCATGGGTTTACCCTAGTACCCCCCCCTTCCCCCTGCAACTACGGCATTCACGACTATGAGTACCCCCCCCCCCCCC